AACGTATCAACAATCGTCTGCAATACTCATACCAAATTATGCTAACTATCAAACCAATCCCGTTCACTCTCCAACACCGCATAATCAGAATGGTAAGTGTTGTTGAAGGGAAGCAATGGTACGAATTACGAATATATCAGTCATAAGGAAAAGCACAGTTATAAAATTTCAAGCTACTATTCTAACGTCATAATCCACTTCGTATCGAATATTGATATATCTTTCTCAACAATTGACATTGATAATATATTTGCATAAATACAACTAATTACGAAAGAAACATAGCAACACGTTTAGCAGAACATTTCAATTAAACCTAACGAAATATGTTTTACTTCTAGGTATGCAATCAAGTGCATCTGACTCTACATATATCGTCCAGATTCAACTGGCCGCGAACATTAGCTCCGATTCTGAAAAAGCTCAAGTGCTCAAGAAAATCTTGACTAATCAACAGTTATCAGACAATGTGATTGCTGCCATTGCGGAATGCGCTGCCACCATGTACTCTGCTAAAGATCGCTGTGAAGTTCTACAGATTATTGCTAAGCGTCCTGACCTCTCAATAGCACAATTTCGAGTGAGTGTCGAAGCAATTGATGGTATAAGTGCCGACAATTATAAAGGTGCTTGTATCAAAGCTTTCCTCGTACATGAACAGTTAACTGCTCAGAACCTGGATGTAATACTTTCGGCTGCTGGTACAATGCATTCTAGTGGTGATATGCAAGGTGTTTTCTTGGAGTTGATCCAAAATCGGTATTTGAACGCACAACATCTGGCATCGGTTCTGTATGGAATAGCAGAGATAAGCAATGATGCACACAAGAGTTTTGTGTTGTGTCAGCTAGCTCCACGGTTGCCGAAGAGTGACAAAAATGTACGAGAAGCATATTTCGAAGCAGCTGACTCGATATACTCAGCTAAGGAAAAAGCAGCAGCATCGATGGCGTTTGAGCCCGGAAAATTACCAGCAGGTAACAATAGAAAAGATTAATGCACTTAATTAAACTATTCGAGAACTTCTAACTATAACATACAGACAGACTTTACTTAGATTTAGCTATGACACTCAATCAAATTAGATCCACGGTATTTGTAGATGCAAAATTCGGACAACATAAAATCGGAATATAAATAAAACGGACGCAAAGCTGTTATAGGCATCACACTTATTTAACAAAGATATCAGAGGGTGTTAGACACAGCGTTTTAGTGTGAGTTAGATGTTAGAGTGGCAAAGAGAATGACTGTAAATAATTATCATCCAAATAATGCAGCCTCATGTCTTCGCCTCGCAAAATCTGATCATAAGTCTTCGATAATTTCCAGCCCGATAATATACGTTTTACTTTTAGGCACGCCGTCAAGCGCATCTGATTCTACTTACATCGTTCAGATTCAACTGGCCACGAACATTAGCTCCGATTCTGAAAAAGCTCAAGTGCTCAAAAAAATCTTGACTAATCAACAGCTATCAGACAATGTGATCGTTGCCATTGCAGAGTGCGCTGCCACCATGTACTCTGCTAAAGATCGCTGTGAAGTTCTACAGATTATTGCTAAGCGTCCTGACCTCTCAATAGCACAATTTCGAGTGAGTGTCGAAGCAATTGATGGTATAAGTG